CCACATCCATGCAACAAAGACATGTGCTCGTAATAGCAAAAACCTGGAAGCAACCTAAATGCCCCTCAACTGAAGAATGGATAAAGACGATGTGGCACATCTACACAATGGAATACTACTCTGCAGAAAAAAAAAAAAATGGAATCTTGAAAGTCGCAGGCAAGTGGATGGCACTTGAAGAAACCATCCTGAATGAGTAACCCAGTCACAAAAAGAAGAACATGGTATGTACTCGCTCATATATGGATTTTAGACCTAGAGCAAAGGATCACCAGCCTATAATTCATACCACCAGAGGAGCTAGGATACAAGGTGTATTCTAAGAGATTCATATAAAGTCCCTCACAGAAGGGGAAAGGGACAAGTCCCCCAGAGCACAGGGGAAGTGGGGGGGGGCAGCGAATGGAGAGAAGTAGGAGAAAACGAGGGGGAGGAAAGGAAAACATGTGCGACTAGGAAGATTGATTCAGGGTAGGAATAGAAGAAAGAGAGAGACAGAGAACATAAAAGAGGGAGCCATTATTGGTTTGAAGAGAAAACTGAACCCAAAGAAAGGTCTAAAGACCTACAAGACTGTAGCCAACTAACAATTTGAGCAACTGTGGAAAGGCTACCATAAATGCCCTTCCCAGATAGTGAAATCAACAACTAACTAACTTATCCACCATCATGGAGCCCTCACCCAGTACCTGTCGGAAACAGAAACAAACACCCATAACTAAACACTGAGTCAGACTAGAACCCAGATGCAGATGGAGAGGACAAGACCAGGCTGCAGAAACACATAAGACAGCTGACCGTAACAAGGAGGCACTAACGGGTCCCCAGACTGATAACTGGGAATCCCGCATGGGACTGACTCAGGCCCCCCTGAATATGGGTCTCAGCTAGAAGGTCTGAGCAATCTAACGGACCTCAGACAGTAGAAACAGGATGTATTCCTGGTGCGCAAAAGGACCTTGCAGACATATCCCCCGTGGAGGGATGATGCCTTAACCTAGAGACAGGAGAGAAGTCCTAGTCCCTACTTCAAATGACTTAACATATTTACATGAACCCACCTGGATGGCATTGCCCTACATGTGGAACTGGTGTGGGGGGATGGGAGGGGAGAGTGTCAGGGTGCATGTGAGGGGGCAGAGAGGGTAAAAGGGTGGGAGGGAGGGAGAGGGAGGGAACTGGGATTGACATGTAAAATAAAAAATAAATAAATAAATTTTAAAAAATGTGTGTATTTCAGACTAAAATGCAGAATTATTACACACTGTGATGAAGCAAATAGTAAAAGAAATCATAAATGTCCTTGAGGGTCATGATATTCTTATTGTGAAACACACGATTCTCAATCACTTCAGATAAAGGATCCCATGTTTCCAGGGTCAGTTTATATTTTTGATCAACTCCACTTATCACCATTAGAAAGGGAGAAAATGGCTCATTATTTCCATGTGGCTTCCAGTAGCAGATGCAGAAGTCATCTGAATAAAGAAGAATGCCTGAGTACTATGCAGGGTCCTGATCCCTTCACTATCCTAATGGAGAAATACCACCAACTCAGGTATTGATAAACAGGTGCTTGTATCAAAAGGTTCTCTAAGAAAGATGATAACTAGTGTTAAATAAGAATCTTTAAGAAATTGAATCATTTATAAAAACTGAAATGTAACTCCAAAATGCTACCTAACAATTCTATTTTCTTTAATGTTTAAGTGCATTTCCCAGCTATCTCATTTGAACTTAACAAACAATTCTATGAAGTACAAAGAAGAAGGGCCATTACAACTAATTCACAGACAAAACTGACTCAAGTCTCAAATTTCTCAAGTAGCAGTCACATACATCACTCCTATAAGGCATGGTAAAACCATGGTATGTATATCTAAGCAAATGACTAAAAAAACCTATTCCCACATCAGCCTGGGAAGTTATTAGCACACTATTAAGTAGTGTTCTTAATACATGTGGTTGGTAGGGCCAGAAGCCTATTAAGAATGGCTAAGGGGGCCAACAAGAGGGCTAATCAATTAAGGACACTTGCAGCCTAGCCTAATGACCTAAGTTTGAACTCTGAGTTCAAATGCTGGTTATGCTACTGACATTACATCATATTAACAAATAATATAACTCTTTACTTAAAGGTTTCATCTAAACTACCTGGTGATTTAACACTGTCAAATACATTTTTTCACTGTCCAATCCTAGTTAGGGCCTTTTTTTCACTCTTGGAAGGCTCTTTCAATCTTACCCCTCCCCACCTAATACAACACAAACAAACACACGCACACACACGCACACACACACACATACACACACACACACACACACACACACTAAAGCACTGATAATTGTATGAGACTGTACAGGGTACTAATTTTGTTATTTTGTTATTAGCTTTATTGATGACCTACCTTGAACAACACAGTTTCACATTCTGTGTGACAAATTGCAATACACATAAAGCACGCTTCTGTGCTTCATGCTGTGACTGGCCCAAGGAAAAGCAGACTTATAAGCAAACCAAAAGACAACTCTGTTCTCTAAGGGGCTGGTGGAAAACCAAGAACCAAGTGAATACGATCACATCAAGGAAACAAGGGTCCTTTCAAGCAAGCCTTCAGGTTCTAAAGTATGTCTTCTGCGTAACTTGTCTGTTTCTCAACACTTGCACTTTAGTTCTCGGGCTGTGAAATACCTCACAACACAAGAAAGACTCAAATACTACTTACAAAGCAGCCTATAACCATATTACATTTGGAAAAGCCTAAGATAGCCATCCAAAAAACCATAGAGTCAAGTGTGTCTGTATGCAAATTATGAGGAGAAAAACAGAAATCTATATAGACTATTGTTGTCAAGGAAGCCTCCATACATGTAAATAAAATCTGAGGAGATGGAGAGATGGGTCAGTACTACTGCTCTTCCAGAGGATCCAGGTTTAGTTCCTAGCACCCACATGGCAGCCCACAACCATCCACACCTCCAGTCTCAGAGGACCTGATGCCCTCTTCTGGCCTCTGTGAGCACGTGAGCATCAGGTATACACCACACACACACACATACATACACACACACACACACAGAGAGAGAGAGAGAGAGAGAGAGAGAGAGAGAGGGGGGGGCACACACCAGACATACACACACACAGGCATACACCAGACACTGACACACACACACACACACACACACACACACACACAGGCAAAATGGAATACATGTTTATCAAACAAGTAAATAAATAAAACCTGAACTGGAACTTCAAAATCTGGCAGGATTTAAAATGATAGAAAAAAGGACCAAAGCATCCTAGGAAGATGTTTGCAATATATACAGTGTAACTAGATATTTTTAAAAGAGAAATGCTGCATTCCAACACAGTTTTACTATTTTGTAAGTATGAATTCAAACTCAAATGAGTTTTAAGATCATTAAAGCAGGAGCCACATACTACAATCTTTTCAATCTGGCAGAAAGGTTTTAATGTGGCCAGATTTAATGTGCTGAACCACTTGTTTGGAAAAGATTTACAAAGGGTACAGAGTAATTCTAATGTAGACTCACTTCTAGAACTCAGCGCAATGCCATGATGGACTGTAATCTTTTCTTGAGTCTCAACTAGATCCCACTAGAAAACCACCCCACCACGAACATCTAACAAGGTACCAGAGGCAACTGATACTCAAAGAACAATGAGAGTTTGAGTTCTTGTTCTTGTGCTGACTTTGCTATTTTTCACACTGTTTTCAAATACATAATTTATGGTATTTTTCCTTTTTAATATGGCCAGAAGAGTTTATACATACAAAGAAAATATGAATGGAAAACAACTGTACCACTAAAATAACTCTCTGGTAATGTGCCTCAATAAGGCATGTAGATATTTAAGTATTTTCAATACTGTAGTTATCTGTATCGTTGTAATACTAAACAAAATTCCAATTTATTCCTCATTAGATATTCAAAAGTATTGCCTTTTTTATCTCTCCATCTATTTACTTCACTCACCTCTCCAAGGCACCCTATCTGTCTTTTCTATAAATACATATATACACACTCTCCCCCTTCACTCCTATAGAATTCCTTGGGAAACTACAGCCACTAGATGGCAATAAATATATACAAAGATAAATGTACACATCTATGCCAGAGAGTCACATATTCCCATAATCTAAAAACAGTGTCAGTAAAAATCCTAAAGCATGACAAGTTAGACTTGAATATGTAAGGAATACACTGTAAAGATTAACATGGAAATGAGTTCACAGAGACAGATAACAGTGAGAAAAAAAAGGTGTTTTTTTAAAATAAATAATTTAGTTCTCTTACAGATACATAGAAACATTGAATATGAAGACTTAAAAAATATTTTACATGTATGGATGTTTTGCCTGCATGTCTGCCTATGTAATCACATGTATACCTGGTAGACACAGGGGTCAGAAGATGATCTAGGAACCCACAGAGTTGCAGACAGCTGTGGGCCTCCACATGGGCGCTGAGAATCGAACCTGGGTCCTCAGGAGCAGCAGTGCCATTAACTGCAGAACCATCCCCCCCACAGCCTCACTGGAACTTGCTTGGTAACATCATCTTAAAGAACATAGAAGCAAGAAAAGGCACAAAAAGGTAGGAACTAAGGACTTTGCTACACAGCAAAGTGGAGACTCAGTTCTTAAACCGTTCCCAGTGGCTTTGGAAAGCTATGAGCTACAGAACAAAGAAACAACAAATTTCTTCTACTGAAAGTCAGGACCTTGTGGGTAGTATCTGGGGTGGGAGGAAGAGTATTTGTTGGAGATAAATGGCCCTCAGTTCTTTTCTCACAACTAATCATACAGTGAAATGAAGAAAAGAAATAGCAGCTACTCATTCATCGAAGACAGTCTATTCCCTCTGCAGACTCTAAACTTGCAAGGATGCATTTGCTTTGTGTTTGTTTTTGCTACCATTACAAAATTGCAAGACTCAAAACCAATACTTCTTGCAAAGTATAACTTCCTTACCCGCATTGGATGTATGTCAGCATAAGGGGGTTTCCCTTCTGCCATCTCTATGGCAGTGATGCCCAGGGACCAGATGTCAGCCACACAGTTGTAACCAATTTCTTGAATTACCTCAGGAGCCATCCAAAATGGGGTTCCTATTACAGTATTGCGTTTTGCCATTGTATCCTGCAATGATATTACATAAACGTAAGTACTAAACAGGTATACCAATATATTCATTAAAATGTGATACACTAATAACACAAATTCTATTAAAAGCTGACTATTTCCCTAATGCTTCAAACTAGTTATAACATGACATATTTTAGGAATCTTAACTTGTAAAATAAACAAGAGCTTTCAACTCTTCATTATTTTATTAAAGATAGCCATTAAAAGTAGTATATTAACAATAAAAGCAGTGAAAAATTAATGTTCCAAGAGACTCAATGTTGTTTTCCTTTCATAAATTGGAGCATTTTGGTGATAAACTGTCTTTTATTATCTACTGACCCTAGCATTGTAAATAGACTTATGGAGAGGCTTCCTCTCCATAACAATAACAAGTTCTCCTTCCATACTTCCCTAAATTATCAGCTTAGTCAAAAATCAAGCCTGAAAAATAGTCAAAAATATATCCAAATTATTAAAGGCAACTTACTGTTAACTGGCCAGCCACTCCAAAATCTGCAAGCTTTGCATGTCCTTCTGTGTTGAGGAGAATATTCCCAGCTTTTATATCCCTGTGTATTTTCCTCATAAAATGCAAATACTCTAATCCTTTCAATGTGGATTTTAGAATAGTTGCAATTTCATCTTCTGTTAACTGGAAAGGAATATGTTTAAAACTGTTGAAATACCATATCAGATAAAGTCACAGAAGACACCAGTACTAAGTTCACTCTTCTTCTTCTTCTTTTTTTTTTTTTTTTTTTTTTTTTTTTGGTTGCTGTTGTTAAATTGTTGTTTTTCAAAACAAGGTTTCTCTGTGTAGCCCTGGCTGTCCTATATCTGACTCTGTAGACCAGCTAGACTCGAACTCAGATATCCGCCTGCTTCTGCCTCTGCCTTCTGAGTGCTGGGATTAAAGGCTTCTTTCTAACAGCCATTAAACCTCTACAAAAAGATCAAGACTGATAAATCACAAAATTCCTATCCTCCACGTAATACTGTCATTCTATTATTACATACTTTATTGAATGGAAGATTAAGTTTCTTTAAAATTATGATGTTCCTAATGTAAAAATGCATATTCCAAGAATCATCTTGATTAGAAGTCAACATTTCCCTTTGAGGTACCATAATCTAATTTTAATGAGTATTTCATTTACCTTTTTAAAAAATTTCTATAGTGTAGCATGATATTATGAAATAACAATAAATAAATATTTGATCTTCTTTCTAGGTTCTCATTATTAGAAAAGAATTTCTAAATCCCTTTTAATTTGCTGAACAAAAGAAATGAAAGACACACACACACGTGTGTATATATAATTTTTTCTTATTTTACATATCAATCTCCATTCCCTCTCATGCCCCCCAACTCCCCCATCCCATCCCCCCCACACTCCACAGGGAGGGTGATGCCTTCCAGAAGGGATCATCAAAATCTGTGAAGTCATTTGGAGTAGGGACTAGGCCCTGCCTCTAGGCTAAGGGAGTATTACTCCATGGGAAATGTGCTCTCAAAGTCCTTTCATGTACTAGGGATACATCCTGGTTTCACTATCAGAAACCCCTTAGACTACCAAGCTGGCTCCTCTTTTTAATTCATAATAAACTCTTTCGTATTAATGAAGTGACTCTTGGTGGGACCCTGAATAATTAACAGTAGGAAATGATCACTAGAGGAAACTGTCATGTTCAACAGAGAGTTAGAGTCTCAGCCCAACTCATAACATGTGACTTAATCACCAGCATCCTTTGACTCACCTGTGCCTATATAACTGAATCAAAGATAAATGATCGAGCTTCCGTTCAATATACAGAGGGAGGCAGGAAATGGGCAGCTGCCATGAAGAAAATACAGCAGAGAGCCAGAGGAGTGTTGAGTCAATCTTTGGACATCCAGGGCTATCCGGGAGAAGGGTTTGCACCCTTATTTTAAATCTTACTATTTACTGGTGTAAAGACATACTGATGAATGAAACAGAATGGCAATCCCAGAAATAGCCTATTTTTATCTAGTCATATGACTTTCAACAAGCATATCAAAGTCATTTAATAGAGGGAGAAGAATCCTTACAATATGTAGCACCATATCCAAATATTAACTCAAAATGGATCAAGGATTTAAATGTAAGACTAAATCCAAAGCACTCAGAAAAGATAGACAGCAAAAGTGGCACAGTATGGGACAACCACAGGGTTACAAGCACAAGAGAAACATGAATTCTTTTTAAAATTTGTGTAATAACAGTTAAAACTCAACCCTAAAATAGCAAAAATACAAATTATTTTGTGATCAAACAATGATTTCCAAAATATACAGAAAACTCTTAGAAGTCAACCACAAAAGAAAAACATTTTAAAACAGACAGAGAAGCAGAGTAGATACTCCCTTAGAGACACGCCAAAGCGGGTGAAGGTGACTCATCAGGTGAAGATGCAGACAAGACTCACTCCCAAGTCTGACCCCAGAACTCACAGAAAAAGCCAATTGCATCCATTTTTCATCTCAGTTTTCAGATCAGCAGCCTGAAGTACATGATGCAACCAAAACAAGAGAAACAGCCTCAGCAAGGTAGCAAGACTTAACAGACTTACACAAACTCCTCTGAACTCCAGGCACCAAAGCAGACAGAATCCCATCAGAGTACAGGCATGCACATAAAATAATAAATATTTTAAAGGATATTAAAGTAATAACTTAAAACCACATCTTTTAGGGTTAGTGTTATTAACCAAACAAAATAAGAAGTGTTAAAAATCTGAAGAAATTTAAACCTCTAAACTATTAGAGGGATGTAGAATGGTATAGTTACTCTGGGAAACGACATGGCAATTCCTAAAAAATTAAACAGAGCTACCTTTTTTATCTAGGGATTCCATTCCTCAGAAAATATAAAAAGAACAAAAAACAAAATCTCAAAGAAGTATCTGCACCTATATTCACAACATCATTCACATAACTAAAAGAAGAAGCAAGCTTTGATGCCTAGTGACAGATGAATGGGCGAGCAAAGGGATGTTCCTGTGTATGTGTGAGCTTCCTTTCCCTGTAACAAATAACTGAGGGAATTAACTTGAGAAAGGTATATATTCTGGCTCAGTATGGAAAGCAAGCCATAAGCAAAGAGACTGCACTGGGACAAAAATGACTATACCACAAACCAGGTATAAAAGAAGAGTGAGGTCCATTCAGGTCTCAAAAGTCTTCTTGGAAGAACAGCCCTGCTGACCTAAGGACCTCAGGGCCCCACATCTAAAGGTCTCACCACCTCCCAATATCATCACCCTGAGGCCCAAGTCTTTATTTAACTCATGGCCTTGAGAAGGACATTCATCCAAACCATGGCAACATATGATTGCTTGCAATATGACCACTGATATATGCCCATGGCTCTTCCCCCTTTCTAAGTGAATGGTTTTGGGTCACATTCAAAAAGTTTCATTTATGCCCCAGCTCTTTATAAACTCTAGGTCATGACCCCAGAAGGAGCAGCGTAACTCAAAGTGGTGTGTGGGGGGGAAATAATGACAATGTGAAGGGTTTCTAGTCAGCCATCTCCATTCCTTTCAGTCTGGCCACCAACCCCAGCACTGCCTTCTACCAAGGACCCCACAGCCTCCACACATGGCACAGACCCAGACAAAAAAAAAAACCTTCCTATTTTCCCACAGCAGCAAGAGACCATCACAGAAAGCCACAACTAATCAAAATGCAGATAACAACTACCATAGGATCCCCAGCCAAAACTGACACACCTACAACACAACCTCTGCACCTAAGACTCAACCAGCATTGTGGAAGATGGCGCGCATGTGCACGCACACTTGTGCGGCACACACATACCCCTGAAAGGTCCTTTTAAAAGAGAACTGCTAATGGCCTGCCTGCATTTGGTTACAACCTATTGGCGATGGAAATAAAGGTGGAGCAGGTGGATCTGGAACTCAGCCTCACTGTGCTCTTCTCCTGTCATAAGAAATCCCTCTCATTACCAAGGATCAGTCTGTGCATCTTCATTTCATATCATCCTCTAGTCAGAGCCAGTGTGATTTCTAGTCCCTCAGAGGCCAGACATAGCAAGGCTTGATTTTACACTGTGTTGGTACAGTATTATTTTAACAACCCATTTGAGTGTTGAAATGAAGAAATCCAGATGTGAAAGCGCAAACCTCTATGAATCCACATGAAGCATAAAGAAAGGAAAACCTGTCTGCATGGGCAGCAGCGCTGAGCCCCTCCTGCTGTTTAAAGGGTGTGGTGCACTAACCTGATGCTGGCCATTTCTTTCTAATTTTGGATCCCAAATATCTATCTCAATGTCTTATGAGCTATGAACCCCTTTACTACACTTTAGTAAGAGAGGCTGCTGGTTGGTTTGTTTTTTAACACAGATCACTTTGGTTACTCGTGTTCTCTCAATGTTTTGCTAAATTTGTGAGAATATACAAATGGAAATAAATGGTAACTTTGCACAATTCTAGACAGGAAGTATTCTTCTTAATTATTAGCTTTAGTATCGACTTCTCAGCCTTCCCACATCGTGCTCTTAAAGCTCACCACCTAGGACCACAGTAGTCAAAACTGTTGAGTTCAATTATTACAGGGAGGTAGGACGACAGAGGGGAGGTAGGTACTTTTAACTTAACCAAGAAGGGTCTCAGTCTAGAATAGTGGTTCTCAACCTGTGAGTTTTGATCCCTATGGGAGTCACATATCAGATATCCTGCATAACAAATATTTACACAATTCATACCAGTAGCAAAATTACAGTTATAAAGAGCAACAAAAAAACTCTATGGCTGGGGTCAGCGCAGCAGGAGCAAGTTTATTAAAGGGTTGCAGCATTATGAAGGCTGAGAACCACTGCTCTAGAAGGTATTCAATAGACATAGTAACTGCTTAAGTGTTTTTAGAAGCATTTTCAAAGTGAAATGGAACCACACGACTGGACACATAGGGAAGAAAAGAGGAAGTGATGCTACAGTTGGTCTTTAGTTAGACAAAAGACACAGGGCACCATCCAAAGAAAAGGCAAGTGCAGAGACCCACATCCCAAGCTCAGTGATGGACGGGTCCATAATAACTCTAAAGCACTCTTAAAAACCAAGTAAAACCACTTTCCTTCTACTCAGACTTGAGGACAGTGGTAAGCTCAATTTTAGCTCTAGTACCAAAACACACAATTTTAGCTAATTTGAAGCAACCCATCTGTGCCTGTTCTGTTTTAAATATAAATGAAGTCAAACGAACTTTGGACAAAAGTAGTGTGTATGAAGAATTAAAACTGCCCCCAGAAACTGCCCCTGGTTTTCATTAATGGAGAAGAGCTGAGAGCAAACAGACACTGTCTATTCTTAGTGGTGAACACTAACAACATAGTAGGCCAACCTAGACACCCATCTATCATACTTACCTGGTGTCTTTTAGATACACGCTCATCATCTGTTATCAAAACAAAAAGCAGACCTTTACCTTCCTAAGACATGGACTTCCATTTTGAAAAAATCTCTGTTTTTAATTTGTATTTATATGTAAATTATACCTTATCCAAAGTGGACAGATTTCATGTGAAATTTATTCCCATCTAATAAAATTTAAGGTATCATGGTGTTTCATCTCTATAAAAATTTTATCAGTTCAAATAGACACAAACT